CATTGATGCAAAGAGAAGTTAAGTGACTTGCCCAGGGTCATACAGCTAGCAAGTATCTGAGGCCAGATTTGAACTCAGATATTTCTGATTTCAGCCTCGGATAAAATAAACAATGTTTTTGCTTACTTCAACAAAAGCCTTAATTTTGAACATGTATTCTATAATGCCAAAATACAATTGAAAGCAAAATATTAGGGAATATCATTAATGAAAGAGAGGACTTAACTGGCAAGGGGAATGTAGTTCATGAAATTCTACATTTAAAGAGAAAATTATTGTGGTGTGTGTGTGTGTGTGTGTGTGTCAGCTTGTAGGACAAAGGAATGATTGGAAGAGGGAGAGGGATTTTAGCCACGTGTCCCATGCTCAATTATTTTCCAAAATCCCTATTTTGAGAATTGGTGATTTCTATTTTCTCTCTATAATACTTCCTACTTGCCACTTTGCTATTCAAATGGTGGAATAGCTATTATTTCATGTTCCCCAGGATCTTTTTTTTTCCCTCTCTTTCATGATCATACTTTTTAAAACATAAAGAAAAAAGATTTCAACCAATGTTAAAAACAGTATTTTGTTTCTCTTGTGAAAGGAAATCAGTTTGCTTATATTTGGAATGACTGACCAAAAAAAAAAAGGAAGGTTCTATAGAAAACAAAAAAGAGGGTAGGGGAGGGATATCCTAGAAAGAGAAAGGGGTAGTTAAACAGTGCTTTTTTGTATTTTAAAAACATGTGTCTAAAAAGGTCAAGCGATGTTTTAAAATCTGATCTTAAATTTTACTTTTCAAGTCATACCTAAGGGAGGTGGGGGTGGGAAAGGCAAACCTTATACTTAAGTATTATATTTCTTCAAAGAAAAGCAAATATATTATTCCATTGCTGGTTATATGCTCTTTTTTTATTAGCAAGGTAGGTAGGGATATTTTTATCCTAATTCATATATGGTGGAAATGGAACCCTGTCAAATGAGAACTCACAGATACTTAACACCTACTCCTATAACTTACAGATTCTCTTGATACCTAGAACAAGTCCTCACCCACTGCCTCCTCTGCCTTCTTAGGTGCTCGGGGGAGGTATTTTGAAAATTAAGCCAACTGTCCTATCAGGGACAATCAGGATATTGACTGAAAAAAGAAAGACTGCTTCCTCTGCAAATACTATATTCACTCATTTATTTTGTCCCTTAACTTCCTTCAAGTCAACATGGATTTATTAAGTGCCTATTATGTGGCAGGCACTTTGCTAAGCCCTGGGGTGCTGAAACCCTTGTATTTTAGAAAGTATGCTTTGTTTTTGACAGATCTCTTATGAGTTGCTCAGTTTTCATTAGTAAAAAATCTGAAAGCTTGATAAGATCTGTAGAAGAGATTTGATTTGTGGTTAATTAAAAACTGTTTTCTGATAATAAGTGGGAAAGGAGGGGAAGGTTCTACCTTACTCAATTAATGTAATCACAGAAGATAGGTCACATGAGATAACACATGCCAAAACACTTTGTAGAACTTAATGTACTATATAAAGGCTAGCCATAATTATTATGAAGAAACAAAACTATCACTCTTTGCAGATGATATGATGGTATACTTAGAGAACCCTAGAGCATCAACTAAAACATTACTTGAGACAATTAACAACTTTAGTAAAGTTGCAGGATATAAGATAAACCCACATAAATCATCAGTATTTCTTCATATGATCAGTAAAGCACAGCAGCAAGAGACAGAAAGAGAAATTCCATTTAAAATAACTGTAAACAATATAAAATACTTAGGAGTCTACCTGCCAAGACAAACTCAGGAACTATGTGAACACAATTACAAAATACTTTTCATACAAATAAAGTCAGATCTAAACAATTGGAAAAATATCAATTGCTCGTGGGTAGGTCTGCCCCCATTTCTTGCAACTTTTTCCCTAGCTGGAGCCACCCTAAATCTCAGTTCTGACTGCCACCCTAACTAGCCATGTGACCTTGGGCAAATCATTTCACCTCTGATCTTTGCAATTTCCTATAAAATGAGAAGTAAGCCTATATGACCTCTAAGCTCCCCTAAGGACCTAAATTCTATGATAATTTAGGTAGAGAAGTTGCATTGCAAATTGAAACTTGGAGAATGACATGGACCTGTGTAATATGTTAGTAGTCCTTCATGATTTTATGGGAAAGAAAAACTACCATATCAATTGTCTCTGGCTTTTAAAATGTTACTCTTCAAGTGCAAAGGTCAAGATGAAGGTGACATGCTATGGGAAGAAAAGAAGAGAATGAAAACAAAAAGGAGGGATACAAGAGAAACAATGACAAAAATAAATAAAATGTCTTTATTTTAATTGAATCAAAAAAACTTTCATAGTAAAAATATGCTATTTTGTGTATTTTTCAGTATTATATGCATGTGTATATATTTATTATGTGTATATGTATATGTGTAGATACACATATACATACACATATATAGGTAGTTATAGATATAGATAATTTCATGTGAAGTGAATTTCATATCAACCCTGTGGACACTATTTGGGGGCAGCCCACATTCAGGTCAAGACAATACTCTGAGCCCATTGACTGGTGGTTATGAAACCTGCCCTGACTCCTCTTAGTCTTTGGCTCATAACTCATGACTGACTTGTCAGTTTAGTTCACAGGCCTCTACCATTCTGAGCAGATGTTACCACGCTGTTGTTTTTTGTTTGTTTGTTTGTTTGTTTTAGGCAATTGGGGTTAAGTGACTTGCCCAGGGTCACAGAGCTAGTAAGGGTCAAGTGTGTGGTCGGAGGCCGAATTTGAACTCAGGTCCTACTGACTTCAGGGCCAGTGCTCTATCCACTGTACCCCCTAGCTGCTCCAACCAAGCTGTTTTGATAGGACAAATCAAATATTCCTGGAGCAAAGAGAAGAATTCTGGAACTGGAAATAGAAGAGCAAGACACTTTAAAGTGGTACCTCTGGTCCACTAAGCCTACTTAGCTTAGCTTTTAAGTTGCTACATTGGAAAACTCCTTTTACCAACACAGACAGTAAGTTATCAATGGCTTAATAAATAAATCTGAAGGAGTTGTTCATGCCTCTAAGGGTTAAATGACCTCTCCAGGGTCATACAGCTAATGTCAGAGGTGGGATTTAAATCTAGGCCTTACCTGAGTCTAGATTCCACACTCTTCTATATACAAGCTGCCTGCCACATTAGTAGCCCCGAAGTCTGCAAACCTTAATGATAGAAAATGATAACATACGTTGTTATAGAAAGATTTTCAAAGGGCTTTCAGATAAAGTGCCATTTGATACAACATCCCTGTGAGGTGGGCTCCATAAGGGCTATTATCCTTATTTTTCATAGGATACTACTAAAGCTCAGAGAGGCTGTGAGTTCCCTAATGTTGTCTAGCTAGTGGACATCAGAGGCGGGTCTAGAAGTTTTTTTTTTTTACTTCTGGTTCATTGTTCTTTTCATTAGAGTGGTTGTTCTCAAACTTTTTTGCTCACAGTTTTGAGGAATCTGGGCACACCCCTGGAGTCAAGAGACTTGCACATATCTGTGCAATTGAACAGGGAAGTTCCATAGAATTCAAGGCACATCTAGAGAAATTCAGCAATGAGCCATAGAGTGGTGGGCTGGTAAATGTTTAACAACTGGCTATCTTCTGTACACAGAACACACACTTTTAAGTTTAATCTGTGTTATTAACACTTTCTCTATCACTTTCTTAAGTCTAAGTAGTCAACAAAACAATAAATCAAGCCCTGATTTATAGTGTTTGCTGATTTCTGAGATATAAGTGCTCACCTTGAAAATGTAACAATCTGCTGCTCTTTCCACAAAGCTGGCTCCAGGAAGACACATTCTTTGAGAACCACTAGCCTACAGCATGACAACTTAAGTGTTTTTCTCTGATGTACAATGTTCCATGATCCCTGGGAGGAAGGGGAGGGGAATGCTCCTCTGCATCTGGCTAGGACCCAAATCAATCTCCATTTATTTTATATGATTGATATAACGTGATTTTGCAATCACCTTTCTGTCTATATCTGGGAATGCAATTTTTTGTACAGCTCCCTGAATTACTGTATGTTAGCTCCACCTGGGATTATTTTACCTAAAGCCTCAGACTGATTCTATCCAGTTCTAAAACTCAGTCGAAAATGAGAATATTCAGTCAGTTATTTAGATGCTTAAAAAGTATATGGATATTTGACTAAACATTTCAGTTTCCACCTGAATGTTCTTCTATTATATCTTTAATAGACCACCTATAAGAAGATTATGAGTTAGATTAACTGATTGATGAAAGGACAGAGAGAGCATGAAAGAGATGACATTTTAATTTTTTTAATGCAGATTATATTTTTTAAAAATGTTAAAAAGATCTTGGAATGTGGGCAAGGAGTTTTGGCTTGAATAGGGGCCCTAGAATGAGGTCCTCAAATAGACTTTTTTTGACAAAGAAGGCCCTGGCATTCCGTGTAATTGAGACCTAGTTTCTCCTTAGCTAATATGGGAGAACTGGGCAAAACTTACTCTGAGGGACATGGGAAGTTTTGTTTTTGAAGTGTATCAGAGATATCTTCTGTCTAGCTATACTTTCTGCCAAATAATCTTCCTATACAATAATAAAAAATCCATATATACAATGCCTTATGATATAAAAGGAACTTTGGCCACAGAATCCATAAGTTATTTGTGGGTCATGTGTAGGAAGTGTCAAATTCTTTCTATGTTTTGTGACAGAACAACAAAGACAGTTGTGGTTTTGTTTTGTTTTTTGTTTTTTGTTTTTTGTTTTTTTGTTAGGCACAAGGTTCTCACCTTGGAAAGAAACTTTGAAAGAAAATGAAGATGTTATAACTGGATTACACCATAGGCTGTGTTGTTCTCTGACACATGCTCTCTTATGTACTGTCTTACTGTGTGTATCCAGCACATAAGAAACACATTAAAGCAAAAATAAATGGATTTTTAAAAACTTTAGACAAATAAATAATACAAGATCATATTATCATAAACAGTTGTAAAACTTTTATTTTCTACAAGTAAAATCAGGAGCCAGGCTTTTGCCTGTACTCTCTTTTTTATTTCCAATAAATAAATAACTATTTACAAATGTGCCAAGTTTACAAAACAGTAGAGAAAAACTTTACTGTAAAAAAAGGTACTTTGCATAACACATTTGCTCTTTTTCAAAAGCTGAAGAACAATTTCATTAACCTAGCTTAACTGGACCGAAAAACATTCTCCAACCTGGCATAGCAGTCTCAAGTTATATGTACCTGGTCATTTCTATAAGAAAAAAACAGCCTAGAAAATAAAACTTTCTCACCTTCTTTAAAATAAAGCCCCAGACTTGACTTATTTTTTTTCCTTATTGATCTCTGTTTGAGAATTTCCAAAGATTTAGAAGCTGAGTCTACAGAGGCAATTTGAAATGGTTAAATATAGTTCTTCTGGGTAGCTGATCAATGAAGGCTTCTACTTTTGATGATCTAGGCTCTCCCCTGACTCTCCCTCTTCCCCATCCCCCTTTAAAAATGCTTTCTGTCAACAGCAGGGCTTTGTGGTTTCTTTGTCAATGTTTTTACCTTTTGACAAATGCCCTCAGCTTTAGTTTTCCCTCCACAGAGATATGCAATAAAAATGGGTTATTCAGCTCCAACTTTCCTGAGCCCAAATCCAGCTCTCATACTGCTCTTCCCTGCATTCTCTCATCAGTTTTTATCATGTTAGAGCAACCCTCTCAACATTTTCACCATTATACTAAGGCAAAAGGTAAGCTGCAAAAAAATCAAACAATAATGTTGACTTTCCAATTCAATTACACATCAGAATCCTAAAACAAGATAAATACACTGAGATTTCGGTTTATTTCTGTTCCAATTCAGCAAAGTGATTTAATACCTTGTGCATATTAACTTTACTGAACCTATGCTGTCCATGTAAGTCAATGATTTGAGTAACAATTTACAAGAATTGGTAAGAAAAAAATGCCTATTTGCCCCCTGTGGTTATTGATTTATTTATTTGGTCAAGACTTACAGCCTGAGCAGAGAGAGATAAAAGTAGGATTCTTATGAAAAGACAGAAAGGCATCCTGTTTGAAGACTGAATTTGTTGAGGTAAAAGTTATCCTAGCTCTCAGTAGGTGAGGGAGGGTTGGTAAAGGGCAGAGGATATTTGAACAAATGGGAGTCTTGATTTCACATTTGTGAGAGCTACAGATAATATAAATTCACAGAGAAAGCTTAAAGTCATATGATAAAGTAATTTTTTTTCTAATATCCTAAAAGGAGCTCCCATTCTAGTTTGAGACTTATGAAGAGAAAGCTAGAGGGGTCTTTCTTACAAAAAAAGTGAAAGCAAGAAACAGAAAAGGAAAGCAGAGTATCTTAGATACTTTAAAAAATAAATATTCTAATCACCATCAAGGAATTCCAAACTCATCCTAATCCAACCAAATGTGGCAGATTTAGGACTACAGACAGTAAGAGTACACTTTTGAAGACTCTGAATTATGGTCAGAAGTCATTTGGTAATATGTATTAACACCTTACAATCTTCCTCAGTGATGATCAGAGTGTTCACCATGGCTGGTCACTGTTAGAAGTCTTTACAAGCTACTCGCTAAATGTGGCTTCCGTATACCCCCTGATTAATCCTTACATCTGGGAAAGAAGTTTCTGGCAATAATGTCTCCCCAGATCTGAAAAAAAAAGTTAAGGTGCTGTGTGCTGAGGGAGTGATGTGGCAGAGAGCAGAGGATTGAGAGTGGAGAGAAGGGATTAAGTAGTTATTAATACCATCAAACTCATCTGTGTTCACTCAGCTCCCTCAGCTCTGCACTGGGACTGAAGCTGTCCTTGGGCCCCTTGGTACTGTATGCTTGAGGGGAGCTTAAGGCATCTGGTTTAGAGTTTCTGAGGGACTGACTCTGTGCGCACCTGCTGCAAGACCTCTTCCTTGGCTGGGCCTGCGCATTTGTAATCCAGAGCAGCCCGGGCTGCACACTGCTTTTTCCTTAAGTGGCAGACGATGGCGAGGAGCACTGTGATAATGGATAAGATGCTGATGGCGATGCCTATGAGCACGACCGAATGGACTGGTCCTTCAGTGGGTGGGGAAGTGGTGGTGGCTGGAGTCTCGGTGTCCAGGAGTTCTCCTGAACCACCATCAACGGGGGTGAGATCTTCGGAAATACACTCCTGGCCTGTCTCACTGAGTTTATACTTGGGCCCGCAGATGCATTGGAAACTGCCGGGCAGGTTGTTGCATTCACCGCCATGGCATTCACCGGCTGCACAATCATCTATGTCACTGCACATCTGGTTCTCGTCCAAAATATAGCCCTCCGGGCACTTGCAATCGTCTGCATTGTAGGGGTTGCATTTGGCCGGGCATGCAGTGGTGTTGCAGAACAGCATGCACCTGTCGGGCTGATCTGGAATGGGCACGAAGCCCTCTTCGCAGGCACAGCGGTAGGTGCCCCCCTCCAAAGGTAAACACTTATGCTCGCACTTGCTACCGAAGCAAGGATTGAGTAGCTCCACACACTCTCCATCTAGCAGCTCGAAGCCCGGGTTACACTCGCATTTGAAGGCGCCCTGCGTGTTATCGCACTTCTGAGGGCAAGGATTAGGCTCCAGTGCACAGTCATCGACGTCTACGCAACTATGCCCATCTTCGTCCAGGTAGTAACCCGAGTCACACATGCAAGTGTAGCCGCCTGGAGCGTTTGGGCTGAGATGGCAGTACTGATGACAGCGGCTATGAGTGCACGAGTCACCCTCAGCCTGGCAGGAGCGCAGGTCGGCCTTCGAAAGGGTCCCTTGCGAGCAAAGACACTCAGGATCCCCGCTGTCCTGTCTGCAGATCTGCGAGCAGCCCCCCTTCTCCACCCGGCAGTCCCAGGCTCCCAAGCTTTCCTTGACCCAGCGCGGGGTCTCCTCGACCTTCATACAAACGAGGTCCAAACCAAGAGGCACTACCAAGGCGTGGCTGTTGAGGGGTAGCGCCTGGAAGTCAGCTCCCTTTCCCCCGAAAGGGGTACTGTAGGTGACACTTGCACCGATACTGGGTTCCAGGTTGAGGGGCTTGCAGGATCCGGGGTAGTTATACTCGCAGAGAAAGCCCTCGGTGGCCAAGTCACACGAATGCTCCTCCCAGACCAGTTCCATGGAGCCAGATGGAGAATCCCCAGTGACCACAACACACTGGTGACCGCAGAGGGCGCCACGGCCACTGTGCTTCCACTTACTGTAGCTGGTGCTGTTGTCACCCGTGACCCATCTGAACCCACGCAGCTGACCCTCCTGCTCCTGGCTGCAGTTCTGCCCAAGCTGCAGCCCGATCCAAAGGCGACCGTCTGGGGGTGAGATTTCAGGGGCTCCCTGAGCAAGCAAAGAGATAACATCCGCGGCCACTGAAGAGCGCACAGTCATCAAGTGGCCCCCGAGCTGCTGGCAGACCTGGTTCGCCCCAGCGAACTTCTCTGGGTTCCAGAAGACAGCATAGCAGTCGTCTTCGATGCATTGGCTGCCGCCAGACTGTGGAACTGGGGAGTCTGGGAGCCCCAGCGCAGCCACGGTCAGAACAGAGAGGAGCAGGAGCAGGAGAGGCAGCATTCTCTCAGGCCAGCCGTCAGGGAGGAAAGAGAGTGGGTGAGGTGGAGAATAGAGGGAAGTGAAATCGACTGCGATTTCTTCTGCTTCCCGGGGTTCTGGTATCTTGCCCTGACGTGCTCTGGGATGGAAAAGGAGAACTGGCTTCTCTGCTCTATGCAGTTACCATCCGATCCCAGCCGAGAGGAGTTTCTGTCATGTCTGAAAGTTGATGCCCAAGTTTTTATAAGTGCTCAGCCCTCCCTTGCAATTCGGGAAAGGAAGGAAGTGCCTGGTGGGACGGGCTGATGCTGCATTCTCTGATTATTGTGTTACCAAAACGCTGCGATCACCTCGCTCTATGAGTAAAGTACAGTCATAGAAATTGCTGAGCGCTGCGGAGGCCAAAGAGAGTGAATTGGGTGGGGTGGGGTAAGTGGGGTGTGTGGGGGCCAGGGTGGAAGGCATAGACTGAGGAAAGCATTACAGAGTAAACAATATAACGGTCTCCATCTCCCAGACAATGAGACCACCCCAAAGGGTAATGCCTGCATTTTCCCTTTAAAAAAGAAAAAAAGAGAGAGAGAAAGAAAGAACGAAACAAACAAACAAACAAAACACAACCACTACTCCTGATTCTTAAGTTGTTGGCTGGGGAAGGTTATCGTTAGTGCACAGGGCAGCCAAAATTCCTGAGTGGGGAACTTTAGTGGAGAAAATATCGTAGCCTAGCAAATACCACCACCACCACCCCTCTCCCCCCAGAGCTGAATCAAGGAATACTGGGTTTAAAAGGACAATTGGTCTCTGAACAGGGGTGCCTGGCAGAGTTTGATGAAAGAAATTTCCTTTGGTTAAATGCAAAAAAAAAAAAAAGGAAAAGAAAGGAGTTATTTAATTTTAATGACTGAGTCTGGGAGGTAATTGCCCAATGCAGGGAACTTCTGTTACCCTTCTGGGGGCATCAGAAAATTAGCACATCAGGTTAAGGAGATTCTTCTTCTAGGGAAAACTTAAGGAGTTTGCTCTGTCACCAAGGTCCAGAAGTTCTGATGATAGCACATATTTCTATAGGAATTGTTCGCTCCTCAGAAGTTTGGAGAAGAATATCCTTCACAACCATTTACAGAGTGCCTGCTGTAGACTGCACACGATGTCGGGGATACAAAGAAGTATAAGAGAAGGGATCCCCCATCTTGAAGAGTTTACCATCTGTCCGAAGAGCCCAGGAGAGCAGTTCCCTGATTATAGATTAGTCAGGTCACAACCATTTCTGTGCCAGGCGTTGTACTAAGCACGGGGGATACAAAGAAAGGCAAACACAGGGTCCCTGTTCTCAGGAAACTCACGTTCTAATGTAATGGGAGAAGACAATGTGCAAACAAAGGTAGAGAGACAGACAGACTGACAGATATTTACATATGGGTTCCAGAGGGTTAAATATTTTATTTCTGGGGGGGTTAACTATTTTGAGTGAATGAATGAACCAACCAACTAACCAAGGAGTAGCGATATAGCAAGTGACTAGTACAGATAAATGGGGGGGGGGGGGGGGGGGGGGGGGGGGGGGGGAGGGGGGGCGGTGAAGGAGGCTGAAAAGCTTTTCACTGAAAACTGGGGTAGTCGGGAAACCTTCACAGAAAGGATGAGTTGTCCATGGCTTTCAACCTTATAACTTTAGTTAACCCACAATTCTGTGCAAGACATGGAACCAAACAACCAAAAACAAACTAAAGGAAAAAAGCCAAAAAGGAGTATTTTTTTTCTTTATTTGGTGACTCCTGCCCAGTGCTGATCCACTTTAAAGCACCACAAGGGTGTGCTGTTGAACTCTACCAAATGCCCTCAAGGCAAATTGCTTGGGAGCATTTCTAGAGTTTGGACCCCGCCGGGGTCGCAGGTTTCTGGGGCACCCGACCCTTAACAGGAACAGACAGATCTGTGGAAGTAAGTTTTTGCAGTGGTGTGTAGGTGTTTTGCTATTATCCTGCCTCCAGGTCAGGCCAGTGAAACAATCCTAGATTTTAAATACAACTTCTAGGCGAGTAAGAGAGCTTCCTCATGTGCAAAACGAAAGCACTTGAGCGCAGTTTTGGAGGTCTGGCTCCCTGACCGTAAGCAGTAAGGGGTGGGTATGGGAAGGCTTGTCCTTGGAGCCGAATAGAACATAATTTAAGCACTAACCGTGAGTCAGGGAGAATAAATATGAAAGGAGTTGGGGGATGGGGGGAAGTGATATCGCCTCCATACTGTCCATTTATTTTTATTTTTTTCCCCAAGGGATGATGCACAATCAGAACTCTCACCGAGTCCCAGGGCAACAGAGAAGCCCTGGGCACAGCGCCGCCTCTCTCAGTGCCCTGAAGTGATTTGATAGCCTCCCTGGTCCCCCAGATTGGAGAAGCTTGCATAACCTTCTGATAGACAGAATGTAGATCTCGTGTTCCCATCCCCTCTCCTTGAACAAACTGCGCGAAGCTGTCTGTGAGCGGCTCTAGTGCCAGGCCACTCTACCCAAAATTTGAGCATAGTTTATGGTCGGATACAAAAATATCTAGTATTTAAATAGTAACTTGATATATATTGTTTTATTTGATCCTCACAACAATTTTGGGAAGTAGGTGCTACTATTTTTCCTATTTTACAGATAAAGAAATAGGTTGAGGTTACGTTAAATGACATGCTCAGGGTCTCACAACTAATAAGGGTCCAAGGCTGCATTTGAGCACTTCTTCCTTACGTAAGGTCCAGTATTCTATCTACTTGCCTCCTACGGGACCCAAAAAATGTAGTAATGGTGTAGTATCGATCTCTAGTCTACTGACCAGCCCAGAGGGAGCAGGACTCTGTGTGAATGTTTATCACTGGTAGGTGCCGATTACTCTTTTCCTCCCCACCCCCCAAAATCTTGGAGGTCGGATGGGATAAGGAGCTGTATATCAGGCAGTGTGACTAAGCTCTAGTCATCTGGGTCACCCCGTCCCGGGATAATGAGAAAAAGTCACCCCTCTCCACCCACAGATTATCCGGAACTGTGTAGGTCATCTGGAAGGAGACCCCAGCCAGTCTACTGGAGTCAGTCCTGGCTTCCGCATTAGCAGGACTTGTATTCCAGCTCAGAGAAGATGGAGAGTGTCAGTAAAAAGGAAGGTAGGGTGTAACTAAATCAGGCAAACAGTGCCACAAAGTGTCCCTTTTCTGAATATGGGGAGGGGCATTTAGGGAACTGTCAGCCTACCAGGCCAGTAAGTTATCAGCCTGGGAAGCTGCTTGTGGAGCTCTGTGAGAACACTACCCTGGGGACCTGTCCGGTAGAATAAAAGATTATTGGAGCTGGGTAAGATCTAGGACAAGCCTCGCATTTTACAAATGATGAAAGTAACTCTGAGAGAGATTGTTTGAATTTGCTTAGGTAGCACAGACAATCAGTGACATAAATTTAAGTCTAGGAACTGGGTCTTTGTACTCCAGGGCTCTTTCTGGTTGCTAAATGATTGAAATGGATTTTCAATCTTAGGATCAAGGGTTTAGAAGCAGGAACAGCCTTCAGCTTTCATCCAATTCATTCCCCTTCATTTTACAGAATGAATATAGAGGAGGAAACTGTGAACAGAGAGATTAACTGATTTACCTTAACTCAGAGAGGTTAGTAAAAAAGGTCCTCAGATTTTCCTCTGTTTTCATTGCCTCTATTATCTTAACTTTTAAATCATTTTGTACATCATTGCCAGAATAAAGTGCTCCCCTGTTGGATTCCTGTGATGGGAGGAGGGTCCATGAACTCAGCCATTCCTTTTCCTACCTCCACATCTTTGCCCATGCTATTCCCTCTTCCTGGAGTTCGTGCTTTTCTAGTAGAATGTAAACTCTTTGAGAGGAAAAACTGTTTTATTTTTGTCTTTACATCTTTAGTGCTCAACACAGTGCCTGGCACCCAGCCTGCACTTGCTAAATGTTTCTTGCATTGAATTGTTGGAATGTTTTTCTTTAACTTGTGTTATCTATTATTTTACTTCTCCTTCAACATCCAGACCAAATGCCACCTCCTCAATGAAGCCTCCCTAGTTCATTCAGTCAGAGGTGGCCCTTTTCTGCTTAAAAGTGTTATAATGATTTTTATTTTTACTTTTTTGGAGGGGGGAGAATTAGAACTACCAACAAGCTGGACTCATAAGTCTGAGACTCCTGGCACTTAGCTGTGTGACTGTGGACAAGTCACATAAACTTTTTTTTTTCCACAAAAATCTGTAGTTTTGCCAATGAGTGATCTCAATTGACCAGTTGTAACTGATGACAAACTCATAAATATTAATAGATGGACTATGAGAGCTGCTACAGTCAGCCTGAAGATGAGCTTCTCAGTACTGTGCTAGGTTGGGCCACAGACCCTATTGGCCATCATTGGGCTTATATTAGAATCTCTTCTGCCTCTGTAGGAATAATTAGAGCTTGTACTCTAATGGCACAGACATTGGGTACCTAGTGTTACCTCCATGAGGGGATGGGATGTCAGAATAGGAATTCAGTATAGGGACTCATCTTTCAAAACAAAGATTACAATCCTTGTGATGCTTACTTCACAAAATTGGGGGGAGGTAAACTTTAAAGCTATATAAATGTGAATCATTCTTATACTGTATTATAAGTCATTTGATTTATTTTTCTTATCTTTCTTGCTGAGGTATAAGCTTCTGGGGGTGGGATTATATATCTCACCACACATGAAACAGTGCCTTGTATATATTCCATAATCAAATGGACCTATGGTCTCATGAATTTGGAAGCTTCCTCCAAAGATGTAGACAGAAACTCATCCTGGGCATTTCTTGTCCCATGTCCTACCATAGCTTCAACACACAGGACCTACCTACCTATCCCATCTATTAGAGGCCTTCTTCAATTTCTTCTGACAGTTTAAGTGGAACACTCTGGATGTCTACCTCTAATCTCTCATTCTTGCCATCTGAGCACTCAATTCATTGATGATATCTTTTGCTTCTGTTCTTCTTCTCACTTGCTCTGTGTGGCATACTGCTTATACATACCATGTGCCTCTTCACTGGTCTTCTGTATGATATTCATTCTTAGTTCTTCTGAGAGTGATGAATTATATATCTCTCTGCCATGCAGAGACACTGGTACAATGATGTTGTTGTTTTTTTTAGTTTTTTTTTTGTTTGTTTGTTTTAAATGACCGTTTTCTTCAATGAGAAACTTGGGATCATTTAAAAAAAAGGTTTGCAGTTATCTAAATGCAACCTAGCCCACTTGCTTCCTC